GCGGTCGCGTCCCGTCGCCGCGCCCGGCGGCGCGCGCGTCCACGTCGCCGGCAGCCCGCTCGCGCTCGGCTCGCCCGACGACCCCCCGGAGAAGCCATCGCCCGCGACGATGGCGTCGCCCGCGAAGGCGCCGGAGACATCATCGCCCGCGACGAAGGCGTCGCCCGCGAAGGTGCCGGAGACGCCGGAGACATCATCGCCCGAGAAGGCGCCCGAAAAGTCGCCCGAGAAGGCGCCGCCGCCCGACGAGGCGGCGACGCCGGAACCGGCGCGGGCGTCCCCGGAGAAGGCGCCGTCGCCGCCGCCGCCGCCCGCGGTCGCCGAGGCGCCGCCCGCCGTCGCGGAGGTCCTCGTCCGCCTCGACAAGCGCGGGCCCCTCGACGCCGCGGAGCTCCTCGCGCTCAACGCGCTCCTCCAGAGGCACAACGCGCCGCCGCCGCCCTTCGACGACGACATCCTCGCGCCGCGGCGGTCTCCGCGGTAAAAAATTTGTTAGGAACCCATCATCGCGTGCCAGCGCTCCCTCGTGAGCTCGGGCTGGAGGAAACCGCCGCGCTTTTCGTCCGCCACGGTCGTCTGCTCCGCCCCGTACGCGTGGCCCGGCCACAGGTCCATCGTCTCGTCGCCGAGCTCGGCGCGGAGCTTCAAAAGGGAGTCGAACATGTCGGACTTGGACGACCCCGGCAGGTCGAGGCGGCCGCAGCTGCCCGCGAAGATCGTGTCGCCCGTGATCGCGTTCCTCTCGGCGCCCGACGCGCCCTTGACGACGAGGACCGACGAGCCGGGGGAGTGGCCCGGCGTGTGGATGACGCGCATGGACACGGCGCCCACGGCGACGACGTCGCCCTCCGCGTAGGGCGTTAGGGTGGCGACGTCGACGCCGATCTGCGCCGCGGCCTGGTCGAGCTCGATGTTGTGGATCCAGGCGGGGACCTTTCGATCCTCGACCCAGTGGCGCATGCCGTCGATGCCTTTCGACTTGTCGCCTACGAAATGCGTCGGTGACGATCATTCATCGTGTTCCCGGTCGAAAGCGAAACTCGTCAGGACGCTGCGTGTCGCCGATGTGGTCGTAGTGGAAGTGCGTCGCGACGTAGGCGACGATGGTGTAGCCCGCGTCGTCCGCGATCTTCTCGATGCCTTTCGGGTCGTAGTTCCCGTCGACGATGATGGCCTCCCTCGTCGCCGGGTCGCCGACGAGGTACTGCTGGTTCTGCATGTTTTGCGCCATGCTAAAGAGCTGCTGCTCCGGCCGCGACGTCGCCAGCGCCGGGTTCGCGATCTCGCGGCCCGTGAGCAGCTTCTTGAAGAACAGGTCCTCGCTTTGCTCCGCGACCTTCGTCGCCAGCGCGCGCGCCTGCAGCAGCGAAGAAATGACGGCCAAGGAGCGACGCATAACGAGGGCCATGGCTATCCAGCTGCTGGAGCAGCAGATTGGAGCAGCATTTGTGGAGAGGCCGACATTGAGCCATCGGTGCACCGGAGTTGACGCGCGAAGAGTTGGAGATTGGAGCACGCCTCTGGTGAGGCTGCCCCCGCCTCGAGTCGGGTCGGGAGGGCCGCGGGTCGGCGCCCCCGCCGGTCGGCGCCGGGTCCCGGGAACCCCCCGTAGAACCAACCATGATCCAGATGCTGGCGGCCGTCGTCGTCTGCGCGGCGATGACGCGCTTCGTCTTCCTCGGGCTCACGGAGGAGGGGGAGCAGGCGCCGACGTCGAGCAGCACGACGATCCCGCCGCGCACGCTCCGCGAGCTCGAGGGGTCCATCGAGCTCGACATGGCCAAGAGGCCGAAGCCCGACTTTGTCGTCGTCGTCGCGAACAGCGACACGCGCGTCGAGCTGCCGGCCGACTTCGACCCCAAGCCCCAGGTCGCCTGGGCGTCGGCGAAGGACCTCATCTTCTGCGCGCGGCAGGAGTCCGACGCGCCCCGGGCGACGTCGCGGAACCGTTTAGGGCACCGCGCCGCGCCCGCGGCGCCGCCCGCGTCGCCGACGTCGCCGCCAGGGCAGCACAAGAGAGCGAAATTCCCAACTTCAAAGGCTCCGATCTCGGCCGTTTTCCACTCGTTTCGGCTGACTTTTGGACGAGCGATCATCTCTCGGAACAATCTCGAAGCGTGGATGCTTTTTCTCGTGACGCGCGCGCGCGGAACACTCACGTTGAAGCGACGTTGAATCACCCTTTTGCTGCCCAGGTCGCCGCACGACGAGCTCTTCCGGTTCCTCGCGTGCGGCCACAGCGACGAGGCCGAGGAGCCCGCCGCGGCGCAGCACGACGACGGCGACGAGCTCGACGACGAGACGGCGACGAACCTGGGCCGCGGCGAGCCGCCGAAGAAGCGCCTCGAGGACGGCACCGGCGCGACGGTGTGGCCCGGGGCGGCACAAGAGAGCGAAATTCCCAACTTCAAAGGCTCCGATCTCGGCCGAGTTCCACTCGTTTCGGCTGATTCTTGGACGAGCGATCATCCCTCGGAGCGCTCTCGAGGCGTGGATGGTTTCTCTGGAATGCGCGCGCGCGGAACACTCACGTTGAAGCGACGTTGAATCACGCGATTGCCGCCCAGGTGTGGCCGCAGCCGGCGTCGCCGGACGCGAAGCCCCCGCACCGCCCGGCGAACTCGGAGCCCGGCGAGCTCTGCACGATCTGCTTCGAGCGCGCGGCGGACGCGGCCGTCTTCCCCTGCGGCCACGTGGGCCTCTGCTACCAGTGCTGCCTCGGCATCCACGCGCGCGGCGGGCCCTGCCCCTTCTGCCGCACGAAATTGGACCAGATCGTCACCATCGACCGCCGCTACCCGCTCTACAACGCCGAGGGCAACGTGCTCTTCCGCGTCACGAGGCCGAACCTCGAGGACGTCGGCACCGTGAAGCCCGACCTCGACGCCGCGGCGCACGCCGAGCGCGACGACGCGTTCGACGTCGCCGCGGCCGACGACGACGCCGCCGCCGCGGACGACGCGACGGACGACGCGACGGACGACGCGACGGACGGCGACGCCACGGACGGCGACGACGCCGCGGACGCCGACGTCGCGGACGTCGGCTCCACGATCTTCGTCGACGCCGCGGAGGTCGGCCGGCGACGGTCGCTCAGCGACTGCGCGCCGCCGCCCATCATCGCCACCTACTAGCCCCGCTTCGCCCGCCCCAGCCCCCCCCGTATGCGCGCGGCTCCGTCGCCGCGTCCGCACATTTTAAGTTCCTCCGGCATGGTTGACTTAGAACTTTGAAGGGAATGCGCGCTCGACTGAGCGCCCTGGGGGGATGGTTGACGGCAAATTGAAGTTTGGGAGCGGCCCTCGAGCTGAGGACGAGCTGAGGTGTCGGCCAACGCAGCGCGGTCTCCGCGGCCAGCGCAGTCGCATACACGCATCGAACGATACACACGCATCCAACGATACAAAACAAGACGATGCGCGCGTTGCTGCTGGTCGCCGCGCTCGTCGCCGCGGTCCAGGGCTTCGTCGCGCCGGCGCCGGCACAAACAACGCGGACTCGCGTGCGCCTGCGCGCCGCGTTCAAGCAGAACGACGTGAAGAAGCTGCTCGCGTCGAAGCGGAACGCCATCGACGCCCTCGGCAAGGCCGCGCCGGAGACGTCGGAGCTCACGCGGCTGCGGTTCGCCTTGGCGTTCCCGTCCGCGCGGGGCACGGACGTCGCGTCGGCGCGCGCCGCGCTGCGGGAGGCCGTCGCGTGGCGCGCGGGCCCGGGCAAGGCCATCACGGACGCCGCGAAAGAGGCCGTCGCCGCGGCGACGGCCGGCGGCGGCTGGGACAACGAGCCCGTGCGCGCCGCGGCGCCGCACGCGGCCGCGATCAACGAGTTCATCACGCCGAAGAACATCCTGACGCTGTCGACGGACGAGGGCGACCTCGTCTACGTCATCCGCGCGAGCCTCATCGACGACCGCAAGCTCATGCGCCGCGTGTCCGTCGCGCAGCTGACGGACTTCTTCCTCTACGTCAAGGAGGTCCACAGTCTCATCGTCGAAGCGCGCGCGGCGCGCACGGGCCGCCTCGCGGGCGTCATCTTCGCCAACGACATCTCGGGCATCTCGGCCATCCCCGACGCCAAGTTCTCCCAGGCGCTCACGGAGTCGTCGAACCAGTACGAGAGGCTCTACCCGTCGCTCGCGGGGCCGACGATGATCCTGAACCTGCCGTTCCTCATCCAGGGCTTCGTCGGGCTCATCAAGCCCCTCTTCCCGCCGTCCGTCCAGGACCGCCTCGTCTTCGAGTCCGCGCCCTACCTCGCGGGCCTCGACGAGCTCACGCCCCTGACCGCGGGCGAGCCCGCGAAGGCCGCGTTCCTCGCGGAGGTGAAGCGGAAGCTGCCCCAGTAACCTTTCGTTAGTGCTTCCGGTGGCTCTTCTTGCGGTCGCGGGACCGGGACCGGGACCGGTCCCGGCGCTTGCGGTCGCGGTCGCGGCTCCGGGACCGGTCCCGGCGGCTCCGGTCGCGGTCGCGGTCGGCGGCGGTCGCGGTCGCGGTGCCGGTCGTCGTCGACGCGCGGCGACCGCGCCTTCTCCTCGGGCTTGGCCGCCTCGGCCTCGGCCGCCGCGGCCGCCTCGGCCTCGGCCTTGGCCCGGGCCTCGGCGTCGCGCACGTCCTGCTCCACGCGCCGCTTCTCGAGCGCCGCGGCGAGCTCGGCCTCGTAGCCGTCGTCCGTGAGCCGCAAGCCCGGCGCGAGCGACGGCAGCCAGACCGCCGGGTCCCGCACGTAGAGCGCGAGGACGGCGGCGACGACGGCGTCGAGGTCGGCCTTGCCTACCCGGAAGACCTCCCACCACGGCGCCGCCGGGTCGTCGGGGAGCTTGTGCTGGAGCCGCCGCGCGGCCATGTAGATCGCCGCGCAGGCGAGCACCTCGGACCGGTAGCGCAGCGCCGCGTCCGTCCGGAGGCAGTCGTTGAGGTAGGACCACGCCTCCTGCGCGAGCTCGCCGTCGCAGTCGAGGAGCTTCACGTAGAAGAGGATGAACTTGTGACTGTGGTCGATGATGTAGAACGAGAAGCCCAGCTCCTTGAGGATGTGGCGCTCGACCTTGACGAGCTCGTGCTTCCAGCCGTTGTAGCGGACGCCGCCGAGCTCGAGCGTCGCCGACGACTTGGTCCGCACGCGGTACACGAAGTGGAAGACCATGAGGCACTCGCGGAGCCGCTTGGGCTTCTCCTCGATCTTGCAGGCGAGGAAGAAGCAGCCCATGGCGCTCAGGAACGCGTCGAAGCGCTTCAGGGACACGCGGTAGTAGAAGCGCTGGAAGATGTTCTGCCCCGTGCACATGACGACCTGCGGCAGGCGGAGCAGGATGCCCGCCTCCTGGATGAGCTCGCAGCCCCAGACGCGCTGCGCGTACTCGTCGGCGGCGGACACGCCGTCTCGCTTGCTCGGCGAGTTCTCGAGCATGTCCGCCGGCAGCAGCGTCTGGTGGTGCAGCACGTCCTCCTCGTCCATCCCGGCGGGCGGGGCGGCGCCGGCGAGCGGCCGGTCGGCGAGGGGCGCTTCGGAGGCGGCGGCGCGGTCGCCGTCCGCGGCGCGCGCCGGTTGGCGGGGCCGGCGGACGGTCGGCGACGAGGGTCGGCAGCACCGGCGCGGGGCCGGCGGCCGGTCGGCGAGCGAGGGTCGGCAGCGACCGGCGAGGCGCAAGTCGACGAGCGCTCGAGCCGCTTTTGAGCAGGCCGGCTCGACATCGTCAATGTCGGCTTCAGCACCTTAGAAACACACAATTCTTAACACACGATGAGCGTGGACCCCGCGGAGTCGTCGCCCCTGCTGGCCGGCGCGGCGCCGCGGGCGTGGCGCCGCCGCCTCGCCGCCGCGTCGGCCGCCGCCGCCTGCGTCGGCGCCGCGGCGGCGCTGCGGCGGCCCGCCGCGAGCCTGCGGCTCATGACCATCCAGGACGACGCCTTCGTCGCGCGCTACGGGAACGTGGACTGCGACCTGAGCGACGACGACGGCCTCAACTGGGGCGTGGACCGCTGCTGGGGCGACAGCGAGCAGTGCGCCAAGTACCACCCGGCGATCGTCTCCAACGCGTGCGCGGCCGCGTGCGCGGGCGACCCCGACGGCGCGGTCGCGACTGGGTTCGAGGTCTGCAACTGGCAGGCCGTCAACGCGCTGCCGGAGACCTGCGCGGGGACCTTCGCGCCGTCCGCCGACGCCCTGGCGGCGCCGTCGCGGAACGCGGCGCCCGTCAACTCCGGCGTCGCGGTGTCGCCGACGTTCTCGACCTACAACGTCGCGCTCCGGGCGCCGGGCGGCGGGAGCCACGCCTGGGACGGCTGCGAGGCCCACGCCTTCTGCAAGACGGCCGTCGAGGCCGACGGCACGTTCGTTTCACAGTACGCGCGCGCGGTCCTCGACTACTACGCCTGGGCCGAGGAGCCCCAGATGGCGCTGGACTACCTCTGGGCGACGGCCGACGCCTGGTGCGCGCCCGACGTCCTCGCATCCATCGCCGACGGGTCCTTCGACCCGTCCGTTTCGCGCGCGGCCTTCGACCCCGCGAAACGCGCGCCGTAAGACGTAGGGACCGCGCTTTGTGGCTTAGTCCGACTTTGCCCAGTCGACGGCGAAGAGCGCGGCGGCGTCCACGGGCGCCGCGGGTGCCCGCGTCCGCCAGGAGTCCGCGGTGTAGCCGAGGCGGCCCGCGGCGCCGCCGACCTGGCGCCAGACGGCGGCGACGAGGCGCGCGGACCAGGCGACGGTGCCGTTGACGAGGCTCGCGTCGTGCCTCCGGTGCATCGCCGGGTTGTCGGCGCGCGGGAACGCGCACGCGACCGCACCGGCGTCGCGCGGCGACGCGCGCGCGAACGCGAGCGCGGCCTCGAGCGCGGCGACGCGCGTCCGCGGGTCCGCGAGGCGCTCGAACTTGAGGAAGTGCGTGTGGGCCGGGCCCGGGTGGTCCCGGAGCCACGCGCCGTACGTGTTCGACGACGCGCGCCACATCGCCGCGTACTCGACCTGCGCGGGAACAGGGTGATTCGAGACGCGAGCGTGCCGCGCGCGCGCGCTCCAGAAAAAATCATCCAGAGCGCTCCAAGGGACGATCGCTCGTCCAAAACTCAGCCGAAGCGAGTGGAAAGCGGCCGCGAGAGGCGCCTTTGGACGTTTCCCGCGCCGCGCTCGGACGGCGTACTTCTTCCGCGCGTCGTCCTCCCAGCCCCGCTTGAGCTCGTCGCGCCAGGCTTTGAGCGGGATCGCCGCGACGTGCTTGTCCCCGGGCCCGTCGGGCCCCCGGACCGCGACGGCCTTGCGCCGCTGCCAGTCGCTCCAGAACGCGGCCATCGGGTGGCGCACGAGGAAGATGGCCCGGTCGACGAGGCCGGAGCACATGGGGTTCGCGCCGACGAAGTTGACCTTGCCGTCGGACCGCCGCGGTTCCATGTAGCCCGCCATCGTCGGGTGGACCTTGAGCGCGACGAGGCCCGCGCACTGGTCCCGCGTCTCGACGACGTCGCACTCGTGGGGCATGACCTTGGCGATCTCGCCGTCCATGTAGCGGCTCCCCGTCGGCGCGCCCGACGCCTGCTCGAGGAGCTGGCGCACCCACGTGTTGCCGCTGCCGGGGAACGAGTAGAGCACGGGCGGCACGGCGCGCGCGGTGCCGTTGCGCGCCGGCGCGAGCGCCGCGCCGCACGCGCCGCGCCGCGCGACGTCGGGCGCGCGGTCCGCGCCCTGCCGCACGCAGCGGAGCCGCCGCTCCTCCTTGGCGGCCTCGTTCTGCCCGCGGCCGCCGCCAGGCCCGGGCTTGGGCTCCTTCCTCGGCTTCTTGGGCTTCTTCGGCTCCTTGACGCCGAGCGCGGCCTTGGCGGCGGCCGCGGCCGTCGTCG